ATTGTTTGCAGATGACCTGATACTCTACATAGAAGACCCCCTAAACTCCATTGAAAAACTCTTAGATACAATAAATGAATTCAGTAATGTGGCTGGATACAAAATCAATACTCAGAAATCAATAGCATTCCTATACATGAACAACAAAATCACAGAGAGAGAAATAAGAGAAACTACACTCTTCACATTAGCAAGCAAAAAATGAAATATTTAGGAGTTACTCTTACAAAAGAAGTGAAAGATTTATACAGTGAAAATTATAATACACTGAAAAAAGAAATTGAAGATGATCTCATAAAATGGAAAGACATCCCTTGCTCATGGATAGGAAGAACAAACATTGTGAAAATGGCCATTCTCCCAAAACTGTTATACAGATTCAATGGAATCCCAATAAAAATACCATCAACATACCTTATAGATCTAGAGAAATCACTCCTAAATATCATCTGGAACCTGCAGAGACCCAGAATAGCAAAGTCAATTCTAAGCAGCAAAGACAAAGCAGGAGGCATCACAATCCCTGACTTGAAGTTATACTACAAAGCAACAGTAGTAAAATCAACATGGTATTGGAATCAAAACAGAGCCGAAGATCAATGGAATAGATTAGAGGATACAACCACAACTACAAACACACTCAACCACCTTATCTTTTATAAAGGAGCCAAGCAGGTTCACTGGAAGAACGACAGTCTCTCTAACGAATGGTGCTGGAAAAACTGGCTCTCCATTTGCCGAAAACTAAAGCTAGACCCATGTCTACCACCATGTACTAAATTAAAATCTAAATGGGTCAAAGATCTGAATATTGAAACAGAAAAACAAAATCTATTGGAAGACAAATTGGGTAGAAACCTTGAAGACATAGGAGTAGGTAGAATATTCATGAACAGGACTCAAACCGCATGGGAAATACTTCCCAGAATCAATAACTGGGACCACTTCTTATTAAAAGATTTCTGCATGTCAAAACAAATCTCCAGCATGGTAAAAAGAAAACCCACAAACTGGGAAAAGATTTTAGTGAACTCTCTCTCAGACAAGGGACTCTTGTCTAAAACATATAAAGAATTAAAAAAACTCAGACCTCCAAAATTCAAAGATCCAATCGAAAAATGGGCATCTGAGATGAATACACACTTCTCAGATGAAGAAATATAAATGGCAAATAAATACATGAAAAAATGCTCATCATCATTGGTCATTAGAGAAATGCAAATTAAAACCACACTGAGATACCATCTCACTCCTGAAAGAATGGCCAGGATCAAGAAAACCAACAACAAAAAATGCTGGAGAGGCTGTGGTGAAAAAAGAACTCTCCTACACCCTTGGTAGGAGTGTAGACTGGTGCAGCCTTTGTGGAGGTCAGTCTGGAGATTTCTCAAAAAGCTGGGATTGGAAGTTCCATTTATTCCAGCTATTCCACTTCTAGGCATATTCCCAGAAGAACTGAAAGCATCATACCACAGTGATATATGTGCACCTATGTTTATAGCAGCACAATTTGTAATCGCCAGATCTTGGAAACAACCCAAGTGTCCATCAACTGAGGAATGGATAAAAAAAGTTGTGGTATTTCTATACAATGGAGTATTATTCAGCTATAATGAAGGATCACCTTGAGATATTTATCAATAATTGGGCGCAGCTTGAGACCATACTCATAAGTGAAATAAATCAATCTCGCATGTATGAATGCTGAATAGTTTCCCTAATGTAAATAATGATTCAAATATATAAAAATATGTGGTAATCATGATTTCCCTATATGTGGCCTTGAAGCCTTATAAAGTTTTCACTTATTAATTGAAAAGGCTTTATTCTGGACTTCTTGATATGGAAATACTTGAAACTATAGTATATGAAGTTTTATTCAAATATTTCAAGGAAAAAGACAGACACCATGGTAACTACTATTAAGTCAAGTTATTTGGTGGTGAACCACTAGGTTGCTGAAACAGTCATGCTTTGACCTTTATTGTTATATTGTTATGTCCTGTTTTATCTCAATCTCTGCCTTATTCATTAAAAAAATATTTAGTTATTTTTTATGTTTTTTTTAATTAAGGGGAAAAATTTTAAAAATTAGCAGGGTATATAATAGTAACTTTTTTGATTTCCTATTAACTTGTTTTGAAGTCCAGTAATACTCCCACTATCTTATTTTGACTGATTAGACTCTGTTCCATTCTGTATGATAGTATCAAGTTTGAGGGTATAGGCAACTACTTTGAAGGCAATAAGATTAACTAAGATGCCCATTCTGGTTTGACTATTGTCTCCTTTGGAAGTCCTGTAATGTTTACAATGCTTAAGTTTTATTGGTCTTGTTCTCTACTGTTTTGTTCAACTCTATAATATCTAATGAGATAGACAATTCTTTTTAAGGAAACAAGAGACATTGTTGATAACCATTGTTGATAACCTTGTACTCTGTTTTACATCATGTGCTATGTCTATCCTTGGTTTGACTGACAGCTTTGTTTTGCCATATTTGACTTTATTCTGCCCCCAAAAAAAGTAATAAGAACTAAGGAGTAATAAAACCCAAAATGTGTAAACTTTGTTTTAAATAAGAGAGGGGAAAAAAAGGGTTCTAAATGATACAACAGCAAAAGTGTTTATGGGTGTTAAATAGATGACCATATTAATGTTTTTGGTTGGATCACTGAACACAACTGTTTGCAGTCTCACTGTTTGAGTGTCCACTTTGTATGCTTTGGTACTGTGATTTGAGCAACTATCTCTAAGATGATAATATGTAATCTATTAACCGGTGATTTCTTACTTTTTTTTTGTAGTTCTGTATTACTTGTACCCTTACACTGCTTTGTTTTGTTTTGTTTTTTCTCTATTTCCTTTTAAATAAAATGTAAAAAAAAAGAAAAGAGTGATTATAAAAAGATTTTTAAATCTTTTTATAATTTTCTGACCAACATTTCTACTATATACTGGAGTGTGGCTGCAAACCATTGTCTGTGGGGAAAATGTGTTAACCAATTTTCCACTGGTAGGAGTTTTGTGACCGTTCTCTTCATCTCTATTAGCAATGGTCACCTGACCTAAAATAAAATGGTCAAATCTATTTGGGGAGTGGAATTTTCTTCACTGTCTGTTTCAGCTTGCTCTGTGGGTTCTTTCCCCTGAGTTTTGTAGCATATAATTTTGATCCTATGTGAGTTTTTTTTTCATACGTTTTCTGTGGTACTTTAAGTTCTTGGGTGATATGAGATGTTTAGTTTTAGTTGGGTAAGAGAAAACAGCTCCTCTAAGCTATTAAAAAGCATCCTTTGATCCACTTCCTGAGACACTGCTTGTTTCCATTTGAAGCCTCTTGAGTATCACATTCACTGTCTCCATTTCTGTCAGGGTTCTGATGCTCTAAACTCTCACCAGAACCCCGGTTAAACTGTCCCGCAGCACTCTAAGCTATGGCCTGCCGGCTCCTCCCGACATTTCCAGATTCCACTCCTAGAGCAATTCCACAGCCACTCCCAGTGGTGCCCATAGCTCATGTGACTCAGGACCATTCCTGATTAATGCACCAGGTGATGAAGCTCCTACTGCAGTTCACCTCCTGCTTCCCTGTGCTCTGTTCACACTGCTCTGGACACAGGTCACCTCTTCCAGGGCCTCTTCCAGCTCTGGGTCATGTGGAGATTCAGACTGGAACACAGTGACCAGGGCCACTCTATCCATGTACTTCCTGGTGTGAGAACCTTGAGTCTACTGTCAGGGAGCAGTCACCATGCTCACCCCAGGTGCACATGAAGTCTCACAACCAAGAGCTCCCACCAGCTCTAGCCCCTGTCTCTGTGCACAGAGGGTCTGTACACACTGAGGACAATGACCCTGCCTGGGGAGGCTCAGAGGGAGCCTCAACCAGTGTGCTTCCAGTGTGTACCCTTTCACAGTGCTTTCTTCACACAGGACAAGGGTGGGTTCATTCCTCCCCTGGTCCTGTAATGTGGAAAAGGTTGTTCTCCAAGCCATGGGAAGCCCTGCAGCCCTTCTACTTCTCCTTGGATGCAACACAGGCCACTGGGCAGGCAAAGCTTCTGTAGCCCTAGCAGAGCCCTCAGCCCTGGAAGGAGCACATCAGGGAATAGCAGAAGCAGCTGCTGTCTCTGGATGTGCACAGTGAGGACTGTCACTGTCTTCATTCACAGGTGAACATCCCAATGGTAAAACACACAAGGAAACCAAAGACCTGCACATTGGGCTTGGCTTGCCACCTCTTATTCATGCAGGGCCACTCTTTCCAAGGACATCCCAGGCACAGGGACAGTGAAGCCAGGCTGAGCTCTCAGACCACAGAACACCTGTGGGGAGAACTGGTGTGACTTGCTCTGGAGCAGGGGACAGGAATTGTCCTTCAGGTCCCTAGAAGGAAAACCATGAAAATAGAAAATTGGAAAGGAGCACAGGACAAAGCACACACTTATTTCAGCTGCTGGGTCAGTCAGTGTGTGGTTACTGTAGTGAAATCCTGGAAACAGCTACTACAGAGAGGAAAACTGATGAGGGGAGAGGTCACCTCTTGTTCCTGCAGGATGTTATCAGACACTGGATTCCCACTGAAGATCTCCCACTCAGCACACAGGCCATGTGCTCCTATAGACCTCCACGTCTTCTAGAAGTCTGGGAAAACACTCCTAAATAAACACTCATATAAAAAAAGCCCAGGAGTGGCAGTAAAGAGGAGACTTTTAGAATGTGAGTGTTCGGGTTGGAGTTCAGCTTACGAGGCCATGAAGGACAGAGCCCAGTTGCTTTCTTTAATGAGTGGGCTCTTGCCATATGGAAAGGTCTGGGACTAATGGAGAAATCAGAGCTTTGCTGATATTTCTCCACAGAGCTTTGGATCCTGAGCCTGCAGAAGCCAGATCCCAGCCGAGGGAGGAGCCTTCTGTCCTCACTGGGTGGGTCCACAGAGTTGGGGACAAAAGGCTACAGACTCATTTTCCACTTCCGTTCATCTGCCTGTCCTGCAGCAGTGAGGTCTCGTCTGGCAGAGGTGGAGCCGTCGAAGTAGTTGAAATGCAGCGCACCATACCTCTTCTGCTCTGCCTCGGTGAGAACTGGGAGAAGAAGGGCACCAGGCTGGGGTAGAGAGGGGGATCAGGTATCAGATGAAATCTCTGACAGGACAGGAAACTATCTTCCAGGGCTGAGTCTACACATAGCGCTGCAAGGACCAGCAGGTGAGTCCTCCCCTGCACCCTGTGTCCCACTCCAGCCTCAGCTCCTTGCCCTCCATTGTGGGGGCACAGGCTTAGGCTGAGGGTTAGTAACAAGGAGACACCTTGGAATGATCTAGGAGACAAAAAGGTCCCTTGATCCAGCCACTTATTTCCTTTCAGGCATCCTTCCGAAACCGTTGCTCTGGGCCACTCCAGGCTCTGTGATCCCAATGGGGAGTTCTGTGAGGCTATGGTGTCAGGGGATCCTGGGGGCACAGAGTTACCATCTGAAAAGAGAAGGAAGATCGACATTCTTGGCCAAACCAATCATATTTGGAAATAAGTCCAAGTTCTCCATCCCATCTATGACCAGAGATGATGCAGGGCGATATCGCTGTTACTATCTGACCCTTGCCAGCTGGTCAGAGCACAGTAATGTTCTGGAGCTGGTGGTGACAGGTGAGAGGATACTCAGGCTCAACTCCAAGCCTCTTCTCTCAGGAAGAGGTCCACTCTCAAGGGTGTCCCCCTCTCATAGCCCAGCCTTGGGGACACTATGGGAGATGTGAATCCGTTTCACACACTGCCTCCCTCTCTCCTAGGAGTCTACAGGAAACCCAGCCTCTTGGCCCTGCCCAGCTCTGTAGTGACATCAGGAGCCAATGTAACCCTCCAATGTACCACAGGAGAACGTAACAAGTTCACTCTGACTATGGAAGGAGAAGCCAAATTCTCTTGGAACCTAGAATCACGACGTCTTCCCAATGGACAATTCCAGGCCCTGTTCCCAGTGGGCCCAGTGGTTCTTGGTCCCAGGTGGTCATTTAGATGCTACAGCTGTGACAACCAAAATCCCTTTGTGTGGTCCATACCCAGTGACCCCCTGGATCTCCTGGTCTCAGGTGGGAAGTCCCTGTCTCTGTCCTCTCTCTGCTCAAAATATCAATCATGTCCTTAACTCTAGGGACATTTTTCTCAATTGCTGTATTATTTGGGGATTCCAGCCAGATAAGGTTTGTTCCTCTAAGAAAACAGGGCTCCTTTGCTTTGAGTTCACCCCAGCCCCTTTTGAATTTAGAAATTGCCACATGGTCAGGGGAGGGTGTTGGAGAAAGCTCTGGCTTGATTTTGGACAGTGAGCAGTGGGAGGGTCCGCAGGGAGAGACTTGGACAGTACCTTTTCCTTTCTTCATTGCCAGAATCGTCTACTCCCAGTGCCCCATGCTCAGAGCACATCACCATACCAGGATGCACTGGAAGTCCCATCTCCGTACCCTCTGCTCCCAGCTCCACAGCAGGTGAGTCTTGGGCTTCATCCCAAACATCCCGTATCTAGGCTGCCTAGAGCTCTCAGCCCATTTCAGCCCTTGTCACAGACTCAGCTACTCTCCTGTCCAGAGACCTGAGCTTCAAGTGGAAGTATAAACAGATCTGGGCAGGACAGTGTCTTCTCCGGTCCTTGATTTTCTTCTCTCTGTATTTCCTGAGTGGGGACAGCAGTGCCATGTTGCTGGACTCTAAGAGTTTGTGGTGATGAATGTAAACCTCACACAGAGCAGGGTCATCAATTAAGCAAATCACTTCATAATCTAGACGTCACTCATGGCCATGGTCTGGGAAGGAACCTGCAAGTTGTGATTGGGATCTCGGTGGCTTTTCTACTCCTGCTCACCATCTTTGTGCTCGTGCGACTGCAGCACCAGTGCCACTGCAGGAAGGCAGGTGAGGAAGGAGAGGATAACCTGGTTTGCACCTAGGGAGGAATCAGCAGCTGGGTTTAAGACCACAAAAGCTAAAGGTTTCCAGGTCTGACACCGATGATGGGAAGTCTTAGTAGGTTCCACATGGGTGTCACAGGCCTGCCTCCTTCTCATCACCAGGACCCAGCTCTGCTGACACCTGCCCAGAGGACTCCCACAGCTACCAGGTAAATCATCTTCCTTCCACCCTTCACCTGTCATCCCACAGTTCCCAATTCTCCATCACTGAGTGATTTCCTTTCTTAAATCTGTGCCCCTTGAATTCAAGGCCCTGGGGTCCCTGAGTCCTAGGCCCCTTATCTGTGTCTCCACCATGGATCTCATCAAGCTCCCTGCAGGTTGCTGCACAGGGAGTAAGAAGTGGTGTCCTAAAGCCTGCGCTCTTCCTGCAGTCCCCATCAGCAGTCCCACAGAGAGCACTGCCTCCTTGAAGTTTTACTGTCTGTGAAGCTGAGAGTGTGGCTGATGCCCCCCAGCACCAAGCAGTCTGTGTCCTCAGAGCATCCCAGAGCAGGGGACAGACAGACAATGGTGATGGATCACTGGCCAGGCCCAGAGACCCAGGCAGTACACAGCACGGTGAGCCATGCATGGCAGGGAAGAACAAGTGCCTATGTGAAGAGAAGGAAAGGCTCTAGGGAACAGTGCCGAGAGGACCCTCTGACCACATGTGTGTCAGCAGAGACCTGAATACGGGACATGCCTGTGACTGTCCCAGGGGAGAAGCATTCCTGCCAGGGAACAAGAACTATGAGGTCAAATGGGGACACAGCACTTTGTCTAGGAGCAGACTGCAGCCCAGTGTCACTTGAGTTTATGCATAAAAGACAAATACAGAGCTCAGAGGGCTCAGTCCCATGGGTCTCCAGGCTCTGATGGTGCTCATGAAGCCAATGAAGTTTGCTCCGTGAGTGTCCGAGCTGAATGCTGTCACAGTGCTCACTCTGGAGCTCCTATGGGACCCAGTGATGGTGGAGAGCAGAGTCAAGGTGCAGCCTTTGTCACTGTCTCCCTGCTGCAGAGCCCGGAGCCTGAGGACCCCAGGAAATGAACTACACTCAGAGGCAGTGCTCCAGGAAGGGAAATTGAGTCCAGTCTACTGCAGGTCGCTAGTCTCTCCCAGACTACTCCTTCATTCCAGTCTCCAACCTCTCTCCCTACAGGCAGCTGACTCTGAAGGCAAACAGGGAGTGACCTATGCCCAGCTGAACCGCTTCAAGCTCAGACAGGAGCCAACCACAGGCCCTTCCTCACAGAAACAGAAGTTCCCAGCTGTGACCAGTGTGTATGCCCCCCTGGCTGTCCATCAGCAAATGAGAGACCTCAGACCCCACAGTGCAAGAATTGGCACCTAGGGCCCTCAAGAGGGACAGGAGCTGCCCCATGCACACTCAGCTAAGGACCAGGGGCAGCCTGGGGGCCTGGCGTGGGACTCTGAGATATTCTAGAAGTTGCCTGATCATGAAATCCAAGGTAGCTACATCAACACATCTGAGTATTTAACAAGTTAATTTTTAAAATAATGAAGACTCAGTGAAAAACATCACAAACTCATCAAAATTACCATGAGATTAAAAACATGCATCAAGGTCATGAAGTATCTGTACTTTAGAGTAAAGGAAAACCTTAAATAAACTGAAATAGAAAAACAAGTCAATGATTTCTAGGTGAAAGAAAATGGCATTAATTTTGACAAAGAAAGTAGGAAATAATGACCATAGCAACCATTAGTAATTTAGATTAAAACAGTATAAATATATACTTGTCCTTAAAAGCTAATAAAGTTTATGAAACCCAGGGAACATTGTAAAGGAAAACAATATTCACAAAAGAAATACAGAAGGAAGGCGTGTCAGCTTGCACATTTGGGGAAGATGATGTTCCCACCAGAAAATCTCCCTCATAGCAAAGAATACACCCTGGAGTCTAAAAATATGAGCAAGGTGGGTGTCTTATTTATTTTTTATTTGTTACTGAGAGAGGATACCCGATGCCCAAAGTTGGGAAAGGAAAGGTTTATTTTTTGTAGCTTTGGAGGTTTTAGTCCGTACTCAGTTGGCTCCAAGGCAGGATGGTATGGTAGAGCAGCAGTTTATGGCTACTGCTAACAGCAAAGTGGAAACAGCAAGAGAGACACATCTTTTTTCTGCCATTACATTGTATGCTGGTTCCACCTCTATGTGGGTGTAGCACCGACAGCATCAATCTAAGCTCTAGACAATAAATCAATCATAAATGCATAATGCAAAGGCATGAGGCCTGGGGGCGACCAACATAAACAATGCCAGTGTGGTTACCCCAAGAATCAAGGCTGGATGAGTGATTTAGATGATCAGTGTATTTTACTACATTTATAGAAAAAAGGATAAATGTGTTCACCTGAGGAGATGAACAAAAGTGTTCTATGGAAAACCAGCAGGTGTTCACAATGTCAAATATTAGGAAAAGTGCTCAATTGAATTGAATGGAAATTTACAAAACACCTGGAAGGAGCCTTCTACTTACAAAGAAACTTGGTATCTCTACCCCAAGAATTAGGAAGGAGACAAGGAACTGTGTCACTGGGCTCCTGTTCATCATTTCTCTGGAGGTCCAGGCAAGGATTAAAGACAAGATTATAACAGCAAATAGCAATGACACAATGACAGAGAAAACTAAAGGATGGGCTGTTACTCTTCAGAAATTGTCAGAGTCATCATGTGAAGGCAGCTTGATTCTGTTCCTATACAACAGAAATTCTTTAGGAGGAATATAATAAACATATCAAAACACAGAGTGCAAAATTAAAATTAATGTCTCCAGACATTTGTGGATACAGGGAAAAGCAAATAGACCTGAACCAACATGGGGAACAAAAGAGCCCTCAGCCTGTGCTCCCAGGAAATCCAGGCGGTGAGAACGCATACATGGTGATGATGTTGGGAAGTGTTTCCAGGTGGGAGGGAGAGCCTTGGAGACAATTAGGAGGACAGAGAGGAAAGTACAACACAGAGAAGGAAAGGCACAGGCCCCCACCCAGGAGGTGACCTAGGACAACCTCTCAGGGGAGGGACAAAGGGGCTGTTCCCAGTAGGGTCATCAGGGTCCCAAGTGAACAGGCTGGAGGGGTCAAGATGGGGCTTCCCTTTCTGAGCCAGGTTTCAGGAGCCTCTCCTCCTCCCAGGAGTCAGGACAAGAGGAAACTGAGGCAGGCCATGGCAGGGGTGGTTGTGAGCAAGAGACCCTAGAAAGTACGTCCAGTGTGTGTTGGGCCACAGTCTGTTGGGAAGAGAAGCCTGAGAAAGCTTTCTCCTCATGCCTGGGCTTTTGTATCCTATCTCAGGAGCTATCTGGATATGACCTCTAGGACCCCTTCATTTCTTTTTTTTTAAATTTTATTTAAGTAGAAAAAAGAAAAAAAACAGAAAAAAGGGTACAAGTTATACATAATTTCAGAAAAAATAAACAATAGGAAATAACTAGTTAATTACATATTGTCATCTTAGAGATAGTTGTTGGAGTTAAAAAATTAAAGCATACATAGGGGACTTTCAAACAGTGAGACTGCAAACAGTTTTGTTCAATGATCCAACAAAACTCAGTAATATGGTTATCTATCTTATACACTTAAATATATATGCAGTTATATCTTTTAGAGAACTTTCTTTTCCTTTCTTTTGAACAATAACAATTACACATTTTGGGTTTTATTACTCCCACAGTCCTTATTACTTTTTTTTTGAAGAAAGTAAAACCAAATGTGACATACCAGGATAGAGTCAGTCAAATCAAAAGGAGGATGGACATAATACATAATGTAAAAACAAAATACAAGGTGATCAACAATGGTTACCACAATGCCTCTTGTTATTTTAAAAAGAATTGCCTATATCATGTTATAATAAAATTGAACAAAACAGTAAAGGATAAGACCAATAAAACCAAAACATTGGAGACAGTAGAGGACTTCAAAAGAAGATAATAGTCAACCAGAATGGGCATCACAATGAATCTTATTGTCTTCATAGTTGTTGCCTATACTTTCAAACTTGGTACTATCAAGCATAACAGAATAGAGGAAAATCAGTCAAAACAAGATGGTGAGAGCAATACAGAGTTTCAAATCAAGTTAATAGGAAATCAAAGGGGGTTACTGTAATATATCCTGCTATTTTTTATTTATTTTCCATTAATTAAAAGGATAAAAATGAAAAAGTAGATAATAAAAAGGAGATTGAGATAAAAAAAAAAAAGAGGGCATAACAACAAAACAGCACAAGTCAAAACATAGCCATTTAAGCAAAATAGTGTTTCACCACAAGATAATCTCAACATAATAGTAGTTACCACAGTATCTCTTCCCTTAAATTTTTTGGGTATAACTTCGTATACTTTAACAACAAACATATCAAGACAATGTAAAATCATTCAAGAGAATGACAGTATTACAGGTATTTAGAATCAACTAACAGAAAAATGAACAATGGTTTCTGTATAATCTCCTTGTCTATAAAAGTTTTTGTTTATATTATCACATATAATAAAATCCAATAAGATACCACATGTTAAAACCGATGTAGACAGAAGAACAAAAGCTTGATGGGACTTCAAAACAAGAGGATATTAAATCAGCACTACCTATTATGATGTCTTGTTTTCTCCAAAATGGCTGTTCCTACCATCCAACCTTCTCTGCCTCATTTCTGTTGAGCTCTTTTTCTGTCATTAGTTGTCAGTTTGTCCTCTTTATTTCACTTTCTGCTCCATTCATTGTGGCCACTCTGCCACTGTTTCTGGAATCTTGGTATTTTTCATTTTTTGAATATCCTGCAGTAATCTCTGTAGAGTTGAATTGGTGGGTGCAAATTCCCCTAGTTCCTCCTTATCCTGGAAGCACCTTGTTTTTCTATCAATTTCTAGGGAGAGTTGTGCAAGATATATCACTCTTGGCTGGAGGTTATTATCTTTCAAAGCTTGAATTATTTCCCCCCACGCTCCTCGTGATTTGATGGTTTGTGCCGAGAAGTCTGCTGTAATTCTGATGAGTGTTCCCTTGTGAGTGATCTGTTTCTTGTCTTTGATGGCTTTTAATATTCTGTTCTTATATTGGATTTCTGAAATTTTGATTATTATATGCCTGGGTGTAGCTCTGTTTGGGTTGTAGGTGGCTGGGGTCCTGTATGCCTCATACATCTGAGTATCTTTACTTTTTGCTAAATTAAGGAAATTCTCCTGGATTATTTCTGTGAATAGATTTTGTAGTTCATTTGTTTGAGCCCCTACTTCTTCTTTTATGTTCTTAATTCTTAAGTTATAGATCCTCTTATCATCTTCTAGACTTTGTGTTATGTCTGCTGTTTGTTTTCTTGTTATTTTTAAGAAGTTTTTCATTTCATGCTCCCACCTTACAAATCTGTTCTCCAGTTATGATAATCTATCCTTAGTTTCTTTCAAGCTGTTATGCCCCCTTCATTTCTAATCTCACAAACATTCTGTGATGTCTCCAGGCTCCATGGGAAGGGATAGGAGAGGCATTTTGGTGAGTTGATGACAAGCCACAAAAGTTGTCTGCTAGCCACCTTTATTACAAATATTGCAGTCTGAGGCTGCAGCCCTTCCCCACACCTGTGGTCCCTGAGCCCCGTCAGACACAGGCAGGAGGCTGCTCAGCCCCATCTGGATCCAACTGCGGGTGAGGCTGAGCCCCCAGCACAGCTGCTCCTGCAGAAAGAAACACCAGGCTGTGGGCACTGCCAGGCATAGCCCCTCCTGTGCCCCCTGGGGCCTCTGAGCTCAGTGCTCCCCTGAGACTCTGGAGGGGCCTGCTCTGTTTCCTGGGTCACTGGGGTCTCTGCCCAGCAGGTCTGGAGTGCAGTGCTGTCTAGCTCTGTTATACAGTTGGGTTTCACACTTGTGTATTGCACTGTGTTTTTCTCTAAAAACAAGAATTTCCTGTGAAAATTCAAACACATCAATTTATACATTAAAAGGTACATGATAAGGTGTTTAAAACTGTGTTGTATTAGTGAACTTTAGCAATATTTTGAAGTTTCACTTAGTGGAATTGTGTATATACACAGGAAATTTGTAATGTGATTCAATATTTTAAAAATTGGGGGGCTGGGGATTTAGCTCAGCGGCACAAGCGCCTGCCTTGCAAGCAGGCAGTCGTGAGTTCGATCCCCGGTACCGATAAAAATGAAAAAGACAAAAAAAAAAAGAAAAAAATTTTAAAAATTGGTGATTTAAGTCTTGATGACTTTATGTTTTCGGAATAATAATGTTATGCAAGGAAGTTATTGGTTTGTGTATATTAATTTTATTTCATATTATCTTAAGATTCTCTTCCAATAACCTTTTAATAATCTAGGATTCATTGATAAAAGATATGTCAAGCAAAATTTATTTCACAATTGCATACCTACCCTAATTATTATTATATAAATATATTGATATTTTATTATATCTAGATATACTTAGTTCATATCCAAGGTTATTTATCTTTATTGTCTGTCTCTGTCTCTGTCTCTGTCTCTCTCTGTGTCACTCTCTAGTGTACTAGAGTAAGGACGTAACCCAGAAAACATGACAGATTATTTGTTCAGGAAAATAACTGTAGGCAGAGACTCAGCAGTCAGGAAATTACATGGATGAATGCTCTAGGAGCACATTTATAATGACTATGCTTACAGTATGTGTTTTATATGTTTGCACTTCTTTTCACTTTCATCCACATCCTTTACTTATTCTGCTTGTATCTTTTTACATATTTACTATAGGTCATTCTGCATGGATTTACATATGTGTGAACTAGATGCACTGATTTTAGGAAAGCCTGACATTTCCACTTTGTGAAATATAGACATGTGTATGTGCCTATGTGTGTTACTCTGCAGGTGTTTGAAACCATGAAGTCATCACTTAAAGTGAGGTTACAAGGATAAGGTGATGTGGGGTCCCTGGCTGGGTCACAGGCCCAGAAGTTCAGCCTACATGAACCTGAGATTCAGGAGCCCTGAGGGTCAGAGCTTCAGGCCTGGATCCTGGTCCTCAGTCAGTGAATGAGGGGAAACTCACCTCCAGGAGAGTCACTGTACATTGTGCTGTGTTCCAGATAAACCAAGAGCTCACAGTGCTCACTTATTTCCACACTGGGAATCATATTTGTTGCCAGTTCTGAGCTCTTTCAACTCAGAGAACCTTGGTTCCTTAGTGACTTAGATCCAAATTCTGAATTAATAAAGCTCAGTGAGGGTGAACACTCCCCAACAGTGAAAGGCCTCCTATGGATTTCACGAAGTCACATCATGATGGTAAGATATAAGACTGTGAAGCCCAGAGAAATGGCTCTGGCCTCACAGTGATTCATACATTTTGTCCTTCTTCCTTGATTCTCAGGAGTGATGGAGACCCTTAGCCCATCACAAACCCAGTGACTCTCCAAAACTGGTGGGCTAGAGAATTCTCAATTATGGGGCAGGATTCACAGCTCTTTGGGAAGGCAGGTACACCAGCTGGATATTCAGGAATGCTGGGGTGATTTTAGTTTTTTTTTTTCTAACCTCTTTGTTACTAATTCCTGGCTTCAAACCCCAGGGTCACATCGTGGACATCCTCATCTGGATTTCTCACTGACCTGGTCCTTGTGGTCCTCAGAATTCCACTATTCAAGATTTGCAACATAGCCAGAGAAGAATCCACATGAAGTCAGGAGCTGAGCATGTGAGAGGGAACACTCACTGACCACTTGCAGTGGTGGAGACATGGAAATAAATATTTCTTTTTGGGATATGTTTTGAATTTCATTATGCATGTGGGTTATCACCCACATTCAACCTGTTCAGTTGAGGGTTTTCATAATGTCCAGCATCTCATCGGAGTTGATCTCCATTATCACACAGAGGAGGAGAAAAGAACTGCATTACTGTTTTTGATACAAAGACTATTATTAGCCTAGGGTAAAAAAAGGATGAACAGCAATACTCATGCCACCATTAAC